TCACTCACTGAAGAACACATCATTTGAACATCATCTAAGAGTTTTATTTGATATCAGCTTTGAAAGCCCAAGTCAAATGTTTCTGTCCCAATGCCAGAAGAAAACAAAACTTAAACAAGGACAAGAAATCACCTTCCCCCACAACAGTGGAGATGTGTCGCTTTTCAGAATACTATCTGCACATGAGGTCTGCACAGAAGCAACTCTATTAGCTCCCACTTGCCATGGTACAGCAGGATAAACAACTATCCCTTTATCTCATGGCACCTTCTAGTTTGTATGAAACCAGCATAGCCTCATTTCAAGACATATAACACAGCATTCATTAGAGGAGAGCTAGTTAGAGGCTGCTAATGGGACCCTTTGGCTTCTGGTCCTGCTGAGGTATTTGGAGGAGGTCCAAGAACCTAACCACAGTGATTTCAGATGAAGTTTTCTTTGCAAATACATGTTACCCAACACCCCAAAATATATGAAAGCCATCCTAGTTTTTAGAGTTTAGAAGCCCCCTGACAATAGAATTCTGTGTGGAAATATCTCAATTCAAGTAACAAAGACAATTTGAGAGGATCAAAAATAGAAACATTATTGGCATATTAAAACATTTTAGTTACTTAAGAATTCACATTTCTAAGAAAAGCAGCCTTATTAAGCGACATTTGCTCAATAGGCAATTTTCCCCCATTTAATTTTCACAAATAGATCCCGTTGAAATGTATTTCCCCTAACAAAGACTGCACATTAACAATAAATGATACATCTTCAAATTATAATTAATGTCAAGAGCTTTATTTTGCTTCCAAGCAACTTACAGAAACATGTTATTAATATAATTTAATTTAGGGGGTAGGCATTTGTTTTCCATTTTTAAAAAGGTGTTTCTGAAATTCTGGCCCTGTCAACATTATTTAAACATTCTTGTTCCATGCCTCAATATAATAAATTAAATCAGCATTTTAATTGTGCCCATGCTTTGTGGTTCCTGGAAGTACAAAAAGATTCTCTACGAGCACACAACATCCCCCCAAAGAAAAACCCTACTGAGTGATTAATTGCTAGTCTGGAAGATATAAATATGTCTCTCAATAAAGATAATATGGAATGTTGAAAGCTCTAGCCTTATACATCTCTGTAGGGCACCTTAATTTAGCAAACACCTTTTTAATTCAAACAAGATTCTGGCTCTAGCATTCATGGACAACTCCATGATACACCATTCCTCTACTGATCAGCATATTTATTTTAACTAGCATCATTTCGTACATGCATAAGTATCAGAGGGAAATTGGGCTTTTTTGTGTGAATATATAGAAATCTCAAGTTGTTTCTGCTCCTTAAGAAAGGAAGAATTACAAATGATGGAAAATAACCTTAAGTCTTTTTATTTATTTATTTTTTAAGATTTTATTTATTTATTTGAGAGAGAGAGAGAGCACATGAGAGGGGGGGAGGGTCAGAGGGAGAAGCAGACTCCCTGCCGAGCAGGGAGCCCGATGCGGGACTCGATCCCGGGACTCCAGGATCATGACCTGAGCCGAAGGCAGTCGCCTAACCAACTGAGCCACCCAGGCGCCCTCCTTAAGTCTTTTTAAAGTACCATCTTTATATACAGTATTTTAGGTTACACTCTGATATCACTCATGCTTCATTCTGAGTTAAAGGTTTGGCAGAGGGCACCTGGGTGGCTCAGTCGGTTAAGCGGCTGCCTTCGACTCAGGTCATGATCCCAGGGTCCTGGGATCGAGCCCTGCATCGGGCTCCCTGCTTGGCAGGAAGCCTGCTTCTCCCTCTCCCACTCCCCCTACTTGTGTTCCCTCTCTCCTGTCTCTCTCTCTCTGTCAAATAAATAAATAAAATCTTTAAAAAAAAAAGGTCTGGCAGAGACTATTCTTTTATAAACTAAGACATGAACCAGCAGTTGAATTTGGCTATGCCTGAACCAAGTAGCTACCATTATCACGAGAATGGAGAGAAGCTTAGAGAAAGGACTTACTGGCCACTTCCCTTACCTCCAAATAGTTAACACAAGAATTGATCTAACTTCTAGAACTGTTTCTACAAGACCAAAGTAAGAGCAATTATACCAATCTTTTAAACCAGAAATTGGAAAGTCAACTAATTTGAAAACAGAGATGACTACCAGAACTCAAGACTAGAAACTGGTTCTTTTAAATTAGAGAAATGTCATGTGTAGCTTTTTTAGTTAATGCTTTGTATTTATGATCATAGCATTCATTGCCGAACTAAATACCACATCTCCTTCACACGACCAGTATGGTTTTTTTTTTACAAAGGGTATCAGGGGACAAAATTATCATAGATCATCGTGGTCAGTCTAGAAATCTAGGTTATCACTATTTCTCATCATTCCATTTAAAACAAGATGAAAGTAAGTTTCCCTAAAAAGCCAACACAAGTTTGGCCAAGGGGAAAAAAAGTCATTCGTATTCAGACTTCCACTCTATTGCTATTTGTATTTCTAGATGACCCTGTCAGACAGAGATTTTAAGGGTGATCATCACACATAATTCCAAGGATTAAATCACTCATCGAACAGTTGGAGGTCTGTGGTAGACTGCAAAAATGGCCACAATATTTTAGCACCTCCCATATCAAGAGGTACAGCATATTTTTCGACCCCTTGAATCTGGAGTGGTCTTGTAGCTTGGGCCCATAAAATGCACAAAAATGGCAATATAGCAATCCTGAGCCTAGGCCTCAAAAGGCCTGGCAGCTTCCATCCTCAAACTGTACCTACCATGGGAACAGACCCAAGCTAGCCTGTTAGAGATTGAGAGCCCGTGTGGCAAACAGCCCCAGTCATCCTGGCTGTCCCAGATGTGGCCATTACAAACCAGTAAGCCCAGGCAATCTATCAGCTGACTATACATGCATAAGCAAGCCCAGCCAGGATTAGCCAAGCTTATCCTACACCAGAGGAAGTGCCCAGGTTAACCCAATCAACACTGTCAACCAGCAATATTATGAGCTTAAATAAATAGGTATTTTTTAAGCCACTAAGTTTTGGGGTTGTAATTCATAAATATATAACTCATAAAGGTCCTATAACCTCTTAACTAAATCTTCTCAGACTCTACGCTCCAATTCAAGTTTCCCACTATGTCTATAGTCTTTACCAGGTACTAGTGTACATACTCTGTTTACCTAGTTTTGTTTTAAGATTTATTTATTTACTTGGGAGAGAGAAAGACAGAGGGTGAGAGCACAGGGAGGGCTGAGGGAGAGGGACAGAAGCAAACTCCCTGCTGAGTGCAGAGCCCAATGCAGGGCTCGATCTCACAACCCTGAGATCATAACCTAAGCTGAAATCAAGAGTTGGACACTTAAGCGACTGAGCCACCCAGTTGCGCTGACCTAGTTCCTTTTTTTTTTTTTTTTTTTTAAGATTTTATTTCTTTATCTGAAAGAGAGAGTGAGCATGAGCAGGGGCAGAGGGAGAAGGAGACAGAGTAGACTCCCTGCCGAGCAGAGAGCCTGATGTAGGGCTTGGGGGTTCAATCCCAGGACCTGAGCTGAAGGCAGACACTTAACCAACTAAGCCAACCAGGCGCACCCGCCCCCCCGACCTAGTTCCTTTCGATACCATTTTTTTCTTTAACAAAATTTAGCAATTAGCTAAATAATGCCCAGTATGACTTTCTAAAGTATATCTAAATACTTGTGATTCTCATACAAATGCCCTGAAGGCAGAAACCATGTTTTACATTTATTTTGTATTTTCCAATATAGGTATTAAATAAATACTTGGTTTGATTTGAAAATAGCTTAAGTTTGCAAGATCTTTAAATTCCATAAGATATCTGTATCCTTATCTGTAACATGTCAGTATTATTAACCTATTTCACCACAAAAAAGATTGAGTAATTTTTAAACTTCCACATTATTTTACAAATATAACAAATTTCATAGTAAGAAAACAGAAACTAGTTAAAATTTAATACTTCTACATATAGCAAAAGATACAAAAACATAATTAAGACCACAACTAGAGGGGCGCCTGGGTGGCTCAGTCGTTAAGCGTCTGCCTTCGGCTCAGGTCATGATCCCAGAGTCCTGGGATCAAGCCCCACATCAGGCTCCCTGATCGGCAGGAGGCCTGCTTCTCCCTCTCCCACTCCCCCTGCTTGTGTTCCCTCTCTCGCTGTGTCTCTCTGTCAAATAAATAAAAACAAATCTTTAAAAAAAAAAAAAAAAACCCACAACTAGAGAAAACAGTTACTATGTATTTAACCAAGAGCTAAAATTCCCAATATACAAAGAGCTCCCATAAAGCAACAGAAAAAGATAAACAATCTAAAATAAAACTGAGAAAAAGATATAAATTGGCATATTCAGAAGTACAAAGGAAAAATAAAACCTGTGAAAAAATGCTTAATCTCATAATCAGGAAATATAAATTAAAATAAGGAAATGTTTATCCATCAAATCATCAAAAATTAATAAAATTAAATAAGATCCAGTATTGGTGACTATATAGGGAAATAGGCCTTCTTACACATTCTTGATAGGAGTATAAAGTGTTAGAGTAGGTTTTAGGAGTACACTTGGGCCATATCTATCAAAATGTTAATGGGGCACATGCTTTTTGAACCAAAAATATTCACTGAAACCTTTTTAGTATTAAAAAACTGGAAAGCCAAATCATCATCAATACTCTTAAGGTAAATATTGATTCATCCATCTATGGAAAGTACACAAAAATTTAGGAGAATCTGATACAGTTCTATGCACTGACATGATAAGATTAAAAAATTTTAAGTTTAAAGGGAAGGTTGCCCAAGAAATATATAATACCATTTTTTAAAAACAGTAAGTACATAAATGCATAGAAAGAAGGCTAGAATGATATGCATTTAAAAAGCCACTATTAGTGTGGTTGTGAGAGTGGAGGAAGACCACTACTTTCTTCTGTATCAACTGAATTTCCCAGAAGCACTGATTTATGTGACTGGTGTATAATGTGTTTATAGTACACATACCTCAGCAGCAGAAAGGGGCAGAGCATAGATGGGAGTCACATAAGGAGCCAGAGAAAGAGCTGTGCCTTCATGGAGGAAGCCTCCACTTTCACCCTGGTTCAAAGCAGTGGAGTGGTCGGCATTGCACACAGATGGGAGCAGAAGCTAGCACTGGGTGCCCTCGTAACATGACTGCCTCAATGTCAGAGGAGATAATGGGCAGTTAGCTGCACTGGAGACCCAGTGTTTCGCCTCTCGGAACCACACAGGGCAACCTCCTGGAATCTGAAATTAAGAGAAACAAGATGAGCCTTTGAAAGTTAAACATGAACACCAATACAAACTGGATCAGAGGAGAGAAGAGAGGCCACCTGAAATACTAACAAAGTTAGCAGTTATATTCACCAAGTGATCTCCCATTCCAAGCACCAAGGACTTTCACACACTGTATCTCAGTTAATCTTCACAACTCCTCGCTTTTTGTTTTGTTTTGTTTTCAAAGATTTTATTTATTTACTTGAGAGAGAGCACGAGTGGGGTGAGGGACAGGGGGAGAAGCAGACTCCCTGCTGAGCGGGTAGCCCAAGGCTGGGCTGAATCCCAGGACTCTGAGATCATGACCTGAGCTGAAGGCAGACGCTTAACCGACACCCAGGCACCCCAACCCTTTGTGTTTTTAATTTATTGAAGGCAAATGAGTTTAGAGAGGCTAACGAAATTAGCAAGGGTCACAGCTTATCCGAGGCAGTGCCAGGATTTTGAACCCAGCTCTGTTTAATTCCACACCTATTTTCTTAACTAACATATGCTCTCTCCTCTAACAGGGACAGAAAGGCCTCTGGGTCAGCAATACTTAACTGTATCCTTGCTGTATGTATCAATATAGCCAAGGATAAAATGCATCAATTAAAAAAAGCATTCTTAGCCATGGAAGCAAAGAACAAAGGGTTTCAGACCAGCAAAGGTGATAATGGTGCGTTTTCAAATACTTCCAGAGCAGCAATGACTCTGATCCAAGGATCTATTTGGTTCAAGTAGCAGGCCAACTAGGCCGCAAAATTTACACAAGAAATCAGTTTTTTCAGCCTGTCAGGATAAAGGCCAGGGCCTAGACAATAGATTCACCAACGTAATATCACCTCAGGAGACCTCCTTAAAAAACCAACAGTTCCTCCATGGGTCCACAGTGAGCCAATTTCCCCCAATTTGGAACCTCTATGGTATATTTCCACCATCTTTTGCTGATTCAGGCCTGCTCTGAATTCACACAAGGCATTGATGAAGAATATATATCACAAATCTATCACAAACGTAGGTCAACTGGATTCTCCCAGGTTCTCCCACAGACCCAGAGATAATACATAAAAAATTGGGGCAAGTAGAGTGAGAGAAAGAAGTGGCAGCAAAGAGTACTGTGTCCTTAAGCTTAAGGAATGGATTTATGAAACAATTGTGGCAGAACACACTGATAGAAAATTCATGGACACTTTTATCTGTTTTACATATTTTTTTGGCCTACATGAGATTTTGTTTTTGAAGAAGAAGAATGGGTTCCACTGTTTTACACAAAAAATTTGAACACCAGTGACATAGGAGGAGAGAATGGCAGATGCAGTTTAGTCAAGTAATGACTATGGCTTCCTTGGAAATCAATTTTCAGGCATTCATGACTATGGTTGATTGAGATATGTGGTTGGCAAATGGATTCCAAGGAGTTCTCCAGAGTGGCTCTATCCCAGTATTCGCTGAAGAGTCTGACTTATAACTGTAGAGAAGCCCTCCTAACTAAAACCCTCACTCCAAACTTCAATGCTAAATAGATGTACATTTTTTAGGCAGTATGACGGGCACAAAGGGAATGAAGAGCTTTTTGGAAATACTAAGCAATTCCTTTTGAATGGAAACCCCTATCAGGAGGCAGAGGTAGTTCTCAAAATGGGCTCTGGAGCTGAGCCACTGAGTTCAAACCCCAGAGCTACTCCTTAGTAGCTGTGTGGTCTCAGGAATTACATCTCAATTGATGTAAGTAAAATGACAATCACATATGGGTACATGAGGATTAAATGTCTGTCAAGTGCTTTGTATTGAGGCTAGCACAGAGTAAGTCTCCTCAATTGTCACTTATATTATCACAGTGGGAACAAAGATTTGAAGATGAAATAGAAAGTGGTTTGGAGAAGAGAAAGCAGTCCAACAGAGGGAAGGCATGCAACAAGCATGAAATAAGGAGCGTAAACAAGGGAGCTGGGGGACTAAAGGAGATTTTGTGATTTTCTTATGTTTGGGCCTCACTCCATAGGGTTGTTTAGTAATTCACTCATGCAGAAAAATATCTGCTAAGAGCTTATTCTGTGCCAAGAACAGTGGCAGAAATATTGAAAGAAATAGAAGGTAGATAACAAGGCAGGATTCCTACTCTTAAACAAATCCATTTGTTCAGAAACAAAGACAAATAATTACAATAGGGTTACAACAGAAGTACGCATCAAGTGCTACAGGAGCCCAGAGGATGCAGTGACTGTTTGACAAAGAAGGGAGAGATCTTCCTGAAACAATCAATAGTTGGTCAGAGAGGGGATTGCCCAAAAAATGACAAGAGATATTTAGTAAATCTCAGCAGTTTTTCTACCCACTCAGGAAGTTTAGAAGAGCCGGGATTCTAACCTATTTTGTACCTCTCTGCATTGGGTGAAGCTAGAGCAATGGACCCTAAAATTCTGCTTCATCAGACTCCACAGTCTTCTTAAAAATGAGAGGACATTCCCAATTACCTATGGAGCCACCCCTGAAAGAAGTTTACTTTCCTGAAGCTGATCACTGTTTTGACACTTAGGAGAAACTCTGGCAAGGAGAACTAAACTTCTCTCTCTTGTGCAACAGTTCATAGTTGTTGCAGTTGAGGACGAAATGAACTGTGCATTCACAAATGGAAAGAAGCCAGATGAGGATAACAAAAATTTTATATGGTATAATGTTGGAGGGGGTAGGCTGAATAATCCCCCTCCTCAAAACATCCATGTCCTGACCCCCAGAACCTGTGAATACGTTACCTTACTTGGTAATGGGCACTTGACAGATGCGATTAAGTTAAAAATCTCCAGAATGAAATAGGATGATGGAAGGAGACATTACAGTGATATGCTTTGAAGATGGAGGAAGGGGCCATGAGCCAAGGAATACAGAGTCTCTATAAGCTGGAAAACAAAAGGAAAAAGATCTCCCCAGAAGCCACCAGAAGGAACACAGCCCTGCCAACACTATAAGCCCCATAAGACTCATTTCAGACTTCTGACCCCCCAGAACTCTCAGAATATAAATTTATGGGGTTTTTTTAAGCCACTAAGTTAGTAGTCATTTATTAAAACACCAACAGGAAACTAATATGGCAGAAAGGGGTTTCCTCCAAAGACCTCCAAGCCCAGGCAAATACTTAGTCCTCTCAACATCCTAGAGAAGAGAAAGAAAATGGAGAAAGACGAGTTTGAGCAGGTCATCTGAGACTAAAGTCAAATCCATAGCAGAACAGAGAAAATACCAAGTTTAATACCTGGAGGGAGACATGATCCTCCCAACTCCAAAAACGCAGCTTTCTGGAGCTTCATTTGAGTGAGGGATTTGGATCCTGCCCCGGCGGAAGCCCAGGCATTTCACCGTGATAATTTCTCAAGATCACAGTAAAGAAGATGGTGGTCCACATTTGGTTACCCTCACTGACAGCACAATGATGTTCCACGCCCCAAGAACTGGTACTGACACACTGACACCATAACTAGGAGTGCCTAGCCCCACCCCAGGATAAGAAGAAAGCATGCCTGATCTAGCCACAGAAATGAAGAGAGAAAATTCTCTTACACTCCCTGAGTCGTCAAAGTTTGTGCTAATGTTTACGAGAGAAACAGGAGAAAGCAAAGTAGGAAAGAACATACATCTGCATCATTCACATCCCCAAGGAGATAAATGGACTAAGAACTCTAGGTAATGCCACATTTAGTTCTTTGCATCACGCCTAACACGCAGATCCCTTGCAAAGGCATTTAAATGCTATTATCAATAACATCACCTTCTAAAATAAACATCTTTTCATCTATGAAATTTTCCCCATTTTGACCATGTAAAACCTGCAAATTAAACATACACCAGGAGACAAAGGCAACAAGGCAGACAATCTCCAGCTAAGAAATTTGAAAAAAAAAAAAAAAATAGGGAATAAAAAAAAAATCAACCTTTGATGAAATAATTGCTTCTGCTGTTATTTTTTTGCTATTGCTTCAGAAATGTTCTATCTCTCTCTCTCTCTTTCTTGTCCCTATAGTGTGGTGCCCCGCTGCTGTGAAGATGAAAGGCCCAATCTCTTTAAAATTTCATGCAGAGCTCTTCACAACATCGAAGCTTTAAAGGCCATGGCAAATTCAACATATTGTTACACTTGATGGAAGGAGATAAAAATTACATGCAAAATATACTGTATATTCATTGTCTGGAAATACTATAAAGTTACAGCTTCCCATATTTCCTTAACCAGTATGGACACAGACATTTCTGATTTCAATATTTAGAAACACAAAAGATACACATGGAGTGAGTATTGTAGCAAAAATAAGAATGAAATTCAAACCACCTAAGGTTAGATTAGGGTCCTAGGATATGTGAATAGTTTTATTCATCGTTTTCCTAAATTGTTCTAGATATGTGAAGCATATTTAAAAGACACCAAAAGATACAAAGGGCAAAAAAAAAAAAAGATTTTCTGAAACTTGAGTATATCATGGGGTTCTTTGCCCTAAGTTATTCTCTATAAGAAAAATGTAGGGATAACAGATTTTTAGGTATAAAATTATAACACAAAAAAACATTAAGAGCTAGAACTAAAGATAGTGGAACAGAAAGCACAGGAATCACAAAAACAAGTTTATCAATCATTATTTAATTTTAATAAATACTTTATTTTAAAATGTATTTTAAATTCTAAAGTTCAACATCTAAATTTTGGTTTGTGTTTTGCTGTAGCTGTTTTTATATGGCCCCACTGAGCCAACCTCCTACATTTGTATTCAGTCACTCTTCTTTCAAACATTTACTGAACATCTATTATATGACAGGAACTCTGCTAGGTGTGAAAAAAAGAAAAAACAGAAAGATGTAGCCCCCGCCTCGAGAGGAATTGCAATGTAGTAAAAGTAGATAAACACAGTAAAAGTTAAGTGTGATAAAGCCTTAGAAGTCCTATGGCTGAAGGAGGGACTAGTTCTTACTATAGAAAAAGAAAAAGTTGTATCCAGGAGTCA